CTGAATGTTTGGGGAATATAGCAAGTATCGATATATTACTGTGGTTTTGGCCGTTTAGCTGTAATTCGTGTTCAAAGTTGAAAAAAATGCTCGAAAAAGCAGTGTTTTTACATTTCATTGATTTACTCGAAAGTATAATAGATAGAATGAATCCAAAAGATGCATATGAAAGCTGAATGTTTGGGGAATCCAACAAATATCGATATATTACTGTGGTTTTAGCCGTTTGGCTGTTCAAAGTTTAAAAAATGATCGAAAAAGCAGTGTTTTTACATTTCATTGATTTTCTAGAAACCTATAATACATAGAATGAATCCAAAAGATGCATATGAAAGCTGAATGTTTGCAGCATGTATAGATACATTCCTGTGCTCATATCCATATTGCTGTAATGCGCGTTCCTTTTATGAAAGGGGAGGCGCCAAATGATTACATACTTTTGAGAGAGGCGTAGTAACTTCAAGTTTGGAAACCACTGATGTAAACAAACAATCAATTGAGTCAAATTTAGTCTTATAGTCTAAAAATGACGTTTTGACAAAAGTTGACAGCTGTCATTTCGCAATTCATTTAAAAATTAACCTAATATTGCATTGACAAACGTTGTCTTTGATATCAATAAATGACTTAAACCTATATAATAAAAACTGTTCTGAAATTCAAATTGAAAACGTAAATTTCTTTATGTAAACAAACAATTAATTGAGTCTAAATTCGAATTGACATCTATTATTTACAATGTCTTATTTTCTCCATTTTCTTCTTAATAATTGTAATTGTTTCTCTCTTTAAATGGAACGTATATTATTTCTTGAAGTTAATTTATTCGAATATTTTTACGTAAAGAAAATGAGGACTTTGGTCGTGCATTTCCAATGCGAATTTTCTCTTTTTTCTCTCTCTTTCTCAACATACCTTTCGTTCCTTCCTATCGACCAATTGGAACCGCGCAAATAGAAAACGGAATCGAATCCGAATTGGCGAGCGCAGAATTCGATTTCCCACCCGTTGCGTAACGAAACGCGCGACGTCGTCGGAAAAATTTTCGCCTCTAATAACCGTCGCTCGTGAAAGTAGGCTGTGTGCGTTAGCTGCAATTGTTATTTAATGTGCCAATGCCGCACACCTTTTTATTTATTTTTATTCTTGTTTCTTTAATTTTATCGCATAAAAAAAACAACAACCGTAAATTACTTCTGCAAATTCCATTCTTCCCTCATTATCTTCTACTGTCTTTCTCTCGCACGCAAGAATAAACATATCATCGCGTCTCTCTCTAATTTGCATTGATTCTTCATTGATTTCGCACTGTTCCTCGATTCGTAAAACATTAACTGTTTCGTTTTTTTCTTCTTTCAACTCTCTCATCTTCTGTTTATTAAAGAAGCATATGTTTACCGGTGGATTCGTATTAATTTATTTATTATTATTGGCGTTTTGTAGAAATTGCAAGAATCTTCAATATTCGATTTGTGGATTCGTGGTCAACGGGTTTTTAGAGCCTCATTAGAATTAATTATTACCATTAGAAACCAAACACTAATTTTATGCTTAATTGCGTTTTTTTTTCGGTTTTAATTTATTGACGTGTATAAACATACGCACGCAATTATTTTCTGCTTAAACACAGCAAGAAACCCACTTCAAACGAAATTTTCTGTTTTTTATTGTCTAAATTCAATTAATTGTTGAAAATATGCACATAAATAAAAAATAACAAAAATTTACAAGAAATTAACAGTGAATGTTCTTAAGATTGTTTGTAATCTAATTATTAATAAGAAATATGTTGAAAACTTTGTATTTTAATTAAAGAATATAAACATTTGCAAAAAATAACGATTTTATATATAAAATTAACAAATTATTACAAGAAATTGTTTTTTTTTGTGACTACAGCAATACGGTTTTTCAACTCTCTTTTAGTGCGTTTCAATTAGCCCGGTTTCAAAGAGTGCGGGATATTGTCGGAACCCGCACTATAAGAAGTATTGCTATACAAACTATTGTACAACAAGAAACCTCAAAAAGGAAAATGATAATTCTAATTAACATTTGTAAAAATGGATGTATTTATGTGTATAAACGATACAATATACAAGAAATTGTTAATTTTTTCATTTTTTCTTGACTGCAGCAATACCTCGCACAGTGCGGCTTCAGTTAGTACGGATTCACTAAATTCTGGTTTGAAAATTTAAAAATAAACCAAATTTTAATTGAGCAAAAAAAAAAGATTTTTTTTTATAAGTAAATTGTCAGCTTTTCAACTCTCTTTTAGTGCGTTTCATTTGTATGTGTTTAGTTCCTCAATTTGTCCGGTTTCAAAGAGTGCGGGATATTGTCGGAAACAGCACTATAAAAGGTATTGCTGTGCAGACTATTATACAACAAAAAAAAATCGATGTATTTATTTTTTTTGTAAATTTATGAATGCTTGAATTATGATAGTTAATTGCTGTGAAAATGGTTAAATATTAAATAATTGCATCAATGGATTTAACTTTCTAAAAAAATAAAAAAAAACATCACAGAATTTAATTACTTTTAAGACGAATGTAAATGAATTTAATTGTTCAAAAATTGATGGTAATTGCAATACGTGATATGATTAAACATGCAATTATTACTTTAAGAAAAATGAAAGTAAAACATTCGGAATTACATAAATGTGAAATTATAGTATATTTTGAAATGCTTAAATCTTAGATACACTAAATCTAATTACTTATTTTTATTAATAGTTTATGTAATGTTTTTTTATGTAATTACAATTAATAAAGGAATATCTTTCATAATAAAATTGAAAATATAAAATAAATCTTAATTATTTCTAATTGATTATTACGTGTAAAACATATTTAATTTTCGTTAAGTTTCTGTAAAAAAATATAATAGAATTTGTAGTATTTGTTTCAATTAATTGAATGAAATGCAATTATTAATTAATTCTTTGGAAACTTCATTCAATTAATTATAATTTATTATCCTTTGATTTGTATTATTACTTATTGGCTAAGCAATGTTAGAAAATAAAAAACAAAGTTTTGGTCGATTAATCTTAAACTAATTCTCAATGACTTTGCAGTATTTACTGTAATCGGACGATCCTTGACATCCTGTTAATTATGGATAATTTATGCAAGTGTTTTATTTATAAACTTAACAATTAAAAGAAAAATACATTTTTCAATTGTCTTCAATGTCTTAAACTAATTTCAGTATTATTTTAATTACAACTGATACGTGTAAGTGTTTTATTTATACATTTAACAATCATTTTATAATTTTATTTAAGAATTGTTAATTATTTAATTATATGCTTTAAACTAATTAGAATAATTTTATTTAGAGACTTAAATATATCGAAAACTTATTCATTATCTCTGGAAATTTCTTTTTAATTGTAGCACTTTTGTATTGATTATGAAAACTTAAAAAAAAAACAATATTTTTTATTCTTTCTTTCTGTTAAGAAAACAAATAACAAGTTTTCTTTCTTCATTGTGTATAATATTAATTACTAAAGGTTTATTTAATCTGTGGATTAATAAATAATATTCTGTTAATTTTTAATAGTAATTTTATATATCAATATTTAAATACTGTCAATTATTTGATTCAATCTATTGAAGTAATTACAATATTTTTGATTCTTTTTTTCTGTTGTTTATAAAAAAAATAACAAGTTCAATTTCTTTGTTTCTTTTCAATTGTAGTGCTTTTGCACAATCTTTTTTGTATATTGATTATGGAGAAATATGATTAAGTAATGGAAATATTTGGACAATGTTTGTGGCTTAATGAATAATATTATGTAACTTATTAATAAATATTGTCGATTATTCAATTAAATCAATTGATATGTAAAATTCATCGATTGTTTCAAGATTTTTTTTTGTTCA